CTCAATGATGCATATCAAAAACGACAAAACCATGTCTACTGTACCGGATACTACACTTATACAGGTAAAGAAACTGCTCAATTGAAATGAGACTTGAGAACGAGCTCCAGCACTGTTGAACGTAGTAGAACAAACAATGGAATAGTAGAGGGGATCACTGGTGAGCTTTTTAGATTGCAAGGTTGTCTGACATACAAATGAACCCAAAATGTCATACAACACTTATGTTGTATTGTTCTAATTGTAGTTCTCTTAACGAATTAAAACAAATGGAAAACAAATGGTGGAAGCAGAACGAGACATGTTACAGGTGGATTTCGGTGCTATTGGTGACCTTCTCAAAGTTCGGTTTGAAGCAGATGGATCTGGTGATGAACCGGATTATTACTTGGAATGGATCGAGCTACGCGATCTTGACACTGAGGAGAGGATTGCTGTAAGGTAAGACATACCGGGGTTGAGTTGATAAGGTTACTTCTCAGGGAATGTTCCTGTAGTGCCGAAGGTTCGCCGGGTATTGCTCTTGGGAATTCCTTGAACATGGTATGACGCGTACTCGGAGACCGAACCAGCCATGCCAGTCCGTTTTTCACCAACTGTTGTCTCTTGTCCGCTTCAACAATTGATGGAGAATGGGCTTACGCCGCGCCAAACTCAGTCCTCTGACACGACTAAGCGTCTGCAGTAAAAACGACTGTACGAAATCAGTGTCCTAAAACGTCAGCAGTGAGGCTGCGTTCATACTTTGCGGCAGCGTCCACCAGCGACCAGCAGCGTCTCGAGGGCTAGGGAAGTACAGGTATCGATCTAGCGTCTGCCAGCGTCTACCAGCGACCAGCAGCATCTGCTAATTGATATGGGGCGATAGGAGGGTAAAAGGCAGCTGGTAGAGAGCAGGCGCGATAGGAGGGTAGCAGACAGCTGGTACCCTCCTATCGCACCATACTCTCTACCAGCAGTCTGCTGCTGGTCGCTGGTGGACGCTGGTAGACGCTGGCAGACGCTAGGATCGATATCCATATTTTCGCTAGCCTTTTTCGACAACGTCGTACCGGGGTTTCCGAGCTTGCTGGCAGCGCAGCGACTAGGAAAGCATATAGAACTATGAACTCCTATCACCGTCCTGCCGGCGTCAACCGTGACTGGCAGCAGTCGGTCTCGAGATGGTTTAGGGATTACAGGTCCGATCTAGCGTCTGGCCAAGCGGTCTTATCAGCGTCGCACTAAAGCGACCGGCCTGCAGACCTGGCCGGAAAACCAGTATAGCGCGAAGGGAGAAGTACCCCTCCTACTGCGTCATATCTCTTTACCATCAGGTCAGTCTGTTGTCCCTCAAGAGCTAGTGGGCCCGCATACCTTCGCCTGCAGTCGCTTGAGTGGAGCGCTGGCAGAAGCACGTCCATCGAAATCTATACCATGCCTAGTTAGCTGGACACTTGCTGGACTCTCGAATCGCTGGTGGGACGGCTGCCGTACTAGTGTGAACGTAGCCTAACCGCAGCCAAATCAGCGTTTATACGCATCTAGCCTCATCTCGAGGAATATGTGAGCCGGCACACAAATTCGGGCCATTCCCATCAGATCAACTTGCAGCGCATCATCTCAGCAAGTAAATATTTATTTCAATATAGCTATTCCTTTTTCAAGCTGCTACCATTTTAGGGTCGGCAAATGGATGGACATCACCGGCAAGCGCACGAAGAAGCCTCAAGCGTTTCGAGAGATCAGCATCTTCCGATCTGGGGATCAACCTTTGGAAAGTTGGTGTTCAAAAAGCACAATCTTGAGTTCTTCGTTTGAAACGATATTCGAGTTTCAGTGCAAAATTACGATGGCAAAGTTCTCGGCGGCGATATGAGTCTGCTTGAAAACGGGAAGCTAGAGGCACAACTCGTCGGTGATTTTAGTGACAGCGGTGTATTCCCGCTAATCTACAACGAGAAGAAAAAGGTGAGCGAGAAAATGTGACAATATACAAGATTGAAGAACAGATGGGACACAGTGATCCAAAAATTTCGCGCGAAATCAGCTGTGGCAGCTCGTCATTTCACATGATTGATCATACCATGGCCGGTTTAGTAACCTTATTTGTTGGCCCGTGTTATTCTCCTTTCGCACAGCTTGGTGTAAATTTCGTAGGTCAGGAAGCGAACACTGATTCCGCTTCCACCTGTACATAGCCTTTTGTCTAGGCTCAATCTGAATAGTGCTGTGTGCACTTGCAACTCGCACGCAGTTAATTCACGCTCCGTTTGGGGTACTGTATCCCGCCTGTCCT